ACCTGGACCACGGCGACCTGTTTATCGATAATGAACTCTAGTACAATGTAATCATGTGTTGTATTGTCAATTGATAATTAGAACCATAACTATCATATTCACATAACCATCTGTCAACAGCTGATTTACACGGGGGCTCAGTGAGTAGGACGTTGGCTTGCTAACCTGGAGGTCCCGTTTCGATCCCTGCGTTCACCGAGAAAGTTCATCGGGATATTCTGGCGTGGTTCCCACATGTCAGGGACAACGTATAGTCGTTCGGATGGGACGACAAATCAAGGTCCAGTGTGCACTTAAAAGATCAGCAATGGGCAGATTTAGCTCTTGCATAATGTATGTTTAACTTTAAAGAAAATAGGTAACCTATGTAGATTATACAATATGGGAGTAATATGTAATGAAAATTTGGCTGGAGTTATTAACCTAAATGTGTGGGGGGGGCGTGTGCGTTGTGATAAGGAGCAGGGTCGCATGTCCAACCTCGTGGGTTTTTTCTCAGGGTCCTCCGGTTTCCTCCCACTGCTAAAGACCCCTTCGCACAAGCGAATTATTGAAATAAAATTGAATCTTATGTTAGTCCCGAAATAACCTAGTTTGTGTCGAGTAGACGTTACCCCCTCTCTCTCTCTCTCTTAACCAAACTGCGTTAGGAACATCAGAGATCAAAGAATTAAAATTATATATCTATGATTAAAGTTTGAGTTGCTTTGTCTGTAGAATCAACTTATTGTGGGTCACTTGCTGTTTAGATCCCATCCCATGTTTTAATTTTTACTCTTATCTTAAAATAGCCATATAAAGCGAACAAACGTTGTAATTAATCAGATACTCACGTTTGTTTTTTTACACCAATCTTAAAATAAACATTTGATGAGAACCTGCTTTTTAAGAAGTTTTGTAATTAATTGAAATATAGAGAGAGTTATATATAACGAATAACGAATAACCCACCCTTTGATGTAATATCGTGATAGGACTTGAAAGATATAAAAACTAAATAAATAATATCGTCATTTATTAAGAAATGAAATGAAATGAAATGGGGTTTAACGTCCTACTCTTCTGCACCTAACCTGGGCTAATGAAGACAGGCATACGCCATACAGTGTGCTATGAGGGAAATTTTGCCCGGGCAGCGTCACTATCGCCTACTCTTATATCGAATTCCAACTGTCAGGGGATCTTTTACGTGCATTCCAATATATACACGGGACCTCGGGTTTTCGTCTCATCTGAAGGACTAGACAGCTGTCCTTGTCAGGCCCTCGGTCCTGCATCACTGACAAGGGGGAACCACGCCGGAAAATCTGGATGAACTTTCTCGGCCAAAGCAGGGATCGAACACCTTACCTCCAGGCTAGCGAGCCAGCGCCTTACTCACCCTTAGAGAGAGAGAGAGAGAGAGAGAGAGAGAGAGAGAAATGGGGTTTAACGTCCACTCGACACAAACTAGGTCATTTCGGGACTAACATATGGTTTAATTTTATTTACATAATTCGCTTGCGCGTAGGGGTCTTTAGCTGTGGGAGGAAAACGGAAGACCCGGAGAAAACCCACGAGGTTGGACAGGCGACCCTACTCCTTGTCACGTACAACCGGGGATTGGAAACCACGCCAGTCGACTCAATGAAAGACTTTATGATACAGCGCGCGCACGCTAACCATTCAGCCACCCAACCCCTCTTACCCACCCTTAGAACAGTTTCTAAGCCGCTGTTGGTTGTTATATTCACAGATTATTTACAGGTATTTGAGATCTAGAAATTGACACAAATGGGTCGCAACGCGTATAATAATGTAATATGAATTTATATAAACAGGGCCCTGTTTCTCGAAATCTTAACTAAAGATAAATTCCCAATTCTAGTAGATACTTCAATTTTGATTGGCTAAGCACTAAAATCAATCTAATATTATCCAATCAAATTACTAAAATTTGGATTTCTTGAAACAGGCCCCTGATTTACAATCAATCATTTCCGTTTTTATATAATTTCTAATCAGTTATGTTCGGCGAAATACGCCAGAAGTCTCAATCGAATGGCAATCTCTAGCGTCTGGTTATTGAAGTCTACACCGATAATATTTATTGCGCATGCTCTCCAGATAAGAATATGAGGTCACCGTTTGACATGACTTGTGGAATATGTCTAGCCTCGTTCTTCGACTCCCTTGTTACAAATGGCGCTGAAACGCATTATAGTACAGATGAGTAAAGATTTGTTCTTCGAGTCCCTTGTTACAAATGGCGCCGAAACGCATGCATGGTACACGATTCGTGTACCAATGGTAAAATGTTTAGGAAAAGACAGGTTAATAGCTGGAGATTTTAGATTCTGCTTAATGCGCGTCTTTAAATGTTATATAAACTATTATTATTTAGACATTTATTAACATGACAAGCCTATAATCAACTCTCTAGACCATCGGATGGCAGAGATTTAAATGGATTAGAACACCCGCTAGATATAACAATAAAATGGACAGTACAGGGGCTACGATAATAAACAATGTAAACACTATATCTCCAAAACTCATAATTTCGCTTAGAAAAAAGTACTTTGAATGGTATTTTCAATATATTAAACATACATTATACAATAGCTAAATCTGTCTATTGCAGGTCTTTCTTTAGGTCTGAAATTTTATCTAAGTTATTAATTAGACGTTTATTATCTTATCCAGACCATAATCAACTCTCGATGTCATCGCTAGACTGCGATATTTACTGGATAAGATCATATTTGCTGCTAAACTTTCATTCATGATTCAACCATGAAGTGGATAATCGAGACTTAAGTAATGATGATCGGGGCTAGGCCGAAAATTCAATCGCTAAATTCTCATATTTGCTGCTAAACTTTCATTCATGATTCAACCATGAAGTGGATAATCGAGACTTAAGTAATGATGATCGGGGCTAGGCCGAAAATTCAATCGCTAAATTCTCGGTTGAGAGTGGATCAATTTGAGTGAAATTTTCAGCAAATTCCCTTTACATTATCTAGTTTTAAACTATTATAGTGAGAACTGTCAGCTCATCATCAAATCTCTCATAATGTATCTTTAATTTTGCATTATCTATTTTATGGCAATATCTGACAGCTCTTTAACTAAATCTTACATAAATCATCTTTAACCGACCAGGTGTGTTCTTGGAGACCTCTATCCATAAAGCATTAAGCTATCAAACAGCGAATCTATTTAGAGAAATGATTTAGAGAAATTTTAACGAAATGCCAAATCAACCATTCCAGGGGATTATATGGGTTCGGTGAGTGCATGGATTCAAGTCTTCCATTGAGAGAGAGAGAGAAATGGGGTTTGATGTCCACTCGACACAAACTAGGTCATTTCGGGACTAACATATGGTTTAATTTTATTTACATAATTCGCTTGCGCGTAGGGGTCTTTAGCAGTGGGAGGAAACCGGAGAACCCGGAGAAAACCCACGAGGTTGGACAGGCGACCCTACTCCTTGCCACGTACAACCGGGGATTCGAAACCACGCCAGTCGACTCAATGACAGACTTTATGATACAGCGCGCGCACGCTAACCATTCAGCCATCCAACCCCCCTCTTCCATTGAGTATAACGTGTATGAATATAACTTAAAAATATGAAATTGTACCTTTAAGCCGTTGTAGAATTGATATAACTAAATCTTACATAAATCATCTTTAACGGACCTGATGTGTTCTCGGAGAATTCTATCCATAAAGCATTAAGCTATCAGACAGTGGGTCTATTTGTTATATATCGGTTTCCACCAGTATCGGTCGAATATCATATCCGGAGAATGTACCTTTTAGAGATTTTTTTTTATGTCTTTGCATCCATTTCTTTGACGTCCGTCCATTATGTGAATTGGAAAAGAAAACTAAGTACGGTCGTATTAAAAGAGGTCGTCATCGTTACTGTCTTGGAATTGTGAGGTCATGAAGAGTCCCGGGAAGAACGATCTAAGTCACTTTTTCAACGAACCTCAGTTAATGGCGCCATCTGGTAGCAAATTGTATAAGCTTTCTGTGGAACAATCAATTTCAGGTAAAAACGAGTCACATCGAACCAAGAACCTTCTGAAAAATGGCCTCCCGGACAAATACTAGTCCATCGTACCCTTTATTTCACCTTAATTTGGCTGGAAAGTGGAAGTCAGTTGTTGTACTGGTAATTATGATTCGTATTAAACATCATTTTGAAATTTTAATTAAACTCACTCGTTGTTCTGTTCACGTCGTTCAAAAGTCTGTTTTGCCTTTTATGCGAAAAGACAAAAATGTGACATAGATCGTTCTTCCCCTGGACTCTTCATATACAATTATTCCTAGTTAGTATGCAGGCACCTCATTCACTGGGCCATCGTGGACTCCATATCTTTCATGAACCTCTAATTGATTTAAGCCAAGTCCGGACATGAATTGAAATGAAATGGGGTTTAACGTCCGGAATAACGAAAACGGGCATACCTCGTACAGTTTGCTGAGGGAAATTATGTCCAGATATTCGTGAAAACATAGGGCTTACTTTGTCTTCGAGTTTCAACTGTCAAGTGATTTTTGTGTGTGTTTTTGAGCCCACATTAACGTGTATACGGGGGGGGGGGGAGTCCCTTTTTTTGTCCCATCCGAACGACTAGACGCTGTATGTTTCCGATGTTGGTACTTTGTATAATTTAAAAGAAAGCTTTTAAGCATATTTAGTCGGTGTCTTGCTGATGTCGTTTCAAATTAACGAGTTCAGTATTCATGAGCCCCATTTGAGCAGCAAAGTAGGACGTTAAACCCCATTTTATTCTTTAAAATTTACTGCGGTAAATATTCCAGGAAAAGATGTCATAAAGTGATCCTTATAAGACATAGAAATAGATTTTACTAAAAATAAACTTCTGAATTTTATTAACATGCTACGTTTCAATCCACATACAGGTATCGTTATCAAGCAAATAATTTAAGTGTGTTTATTATTTTTTGTTATAAAGTGATTTGTATATTTTCAGGTGAAAGACAGGTGTGTGTTGTTAGAATTCTCTGATTAAAGGTGTGTGTTGTTTATAGGTAATTACATAACAAGACGTGAAACCAGGTATATTGATCTGGTGTCGGCTAGTAGCCGCCTGATCTACCTGAGTTGAAGGCACAACGACGGTAATTATTGAAACATAGCACGACGAACTCTTCAGTCGTGATTCAACTAGAATACTGTGGCAGCACTTTCAACTAATGGATAACTTTGTAAAGATTTAAACTGTTAGCTATATGTAGCTTTTAGTTTAACTTAAGTTAAGAACAATCTTGTGTGACTTAAGTTAAGAACAATCTAGCGTAACTTAAGTAAAAGAACATTCTTGCGTGACTTAAGTAAAAGAACAATCTGGCGTAACTTAAGTAAAAAAACAATCTGGCGTAACTTAAGTAAAAGAACAATCTTGTGTAACTTAAGTAAATATGTGAACAACCTTGTGTAACTTAAGTAAATATGTGAACAATCTGGTAAAACTTAAGTAATGAACAATCTTGTATAACTTAAGTTAATATATGAACAATCGTGTGTGACTCAAGTAAATATATGAACAATCCGGTGTAACTTACGTTGATATATGAACAATTTAGTGTGACTTAAGTTAATATATGAAAAATCCGGTGTAACTTATGTTGATATATGAACAATCTAGTGTAATATATGAAACATCCGGTGTAACTTACGTTGATATATGAACAATCTTGTTTAACTTTATGGTGTTCACTATAGAGTGCATAAAAAAAGTTAAAATAAGATGAAATAAGAAAGTCGTTCAACAAGAAAAATATAACTTGGAATTCAGAAGCCATAGCTTATTGTTAAAGTCACATTTGAAGATTATAATGTGGTGAACAATAATGTGATGAAAAATAATGCTTTAGAGACATTTTATCGAAATGTCAAATCAACCATTCCATGTGTTAAAATATTCAACGATTGAAGGCAGGGAATTTTGAGGGTCCGGTGTGTGCATGGATTCAAGTCTTCCATTGAGTGTAACGTGTATGGATAGCTGGGTATATTAATATGATGGGAAACAGAACACGTCCTTTATATCGCTCATCCTGGACAATACAACACAAATATTAAGACAAAGATTCCGAGACGATATTTTGAGAAACCATTAATTCAGAACTACATAACTACTTAGCTTGATAACGTTGAGAGAATACTCTACGAAACGTCGCCTTAAATACACTAGTAGCTGTTTTCCATAAGTATGTGTTTTGTTGTTACTCTATCCAGTTACTAAATGCCATTTAAAGAACATACATAACTCAAGTATCCATCACAGGGAACATTAAGCCGCTGTAGAATTGATGTGATTAAGAAATAGTATTTTGAGAAACCCTTAATTTAGAACTCCTGACACAGGACATTAAGCCGATGTGATACAAATAAAAAAATTGATTAAGGGACAATGTTTGGATGAACCCTTTTTTAAGAATTGTGTAAAGTCTTCAAATCGGCGTAAAAATACGTAACTGATATTGATATAATGCACGATCATGTTTCGTCCGTGACATAAATCCCGTTCAGAATTCAGATGACAAAAAGTGATCTATCGACAAAAGACATGGATAAATGATTGATTTCTATTCGAGTTTCTTTAGTCCAAATATCACCGCCATGTTTCATAAACATTATTAATGAGTCTGCCACTAAAACAGTATTAATCACATATTATGTGTCTGAAATATTAGTTTAGTTATCTCGTTTGGTCGATATGCGTTCAAACCCGTTGGATTATATTATATGTATAAACTAAGCCATGGCTGATAAATTGTTAAAGCAGAAGAAGAGTTTGGGGGGAACTGTTATGGGCTTATTGGCTGAAAAAGCGCGAGAGAAGTCGATCCCGAATATCCCGGAGGATGAGAGGGTCACGTTAAATGTTGGAGGCGTAAAACATGAAACAACGTTTGAAACGTTGCTGAAAAAACCCGGGACGCGATTACATAATGTCGCGCTTGTTGCGAAACGGAAGGGATTAAAGGAGATTTATTTTGATCGGCATCCGGCCCTCTTCGGTCATATTTTGAACTATTATCGTACGGACTCGCTGCATGTTCCGACTGATGTCTGTGGGCCGATGTTAAAGGACGAACTGAAATATTGGGAAATCGATGAGAATCAGATAGAACAGTGTTGTTGGGTGACTTATTGTCATTATGAAGATACGTTAGAGATGCTGAGGAAGTTTGAAGCCGATCATAGTTTGAGATTTGAGGATAAATACCGGGAGGACGAGAACTTGTGGCAGAAGACGAAACCTAAAGTCTGGAAGTGGTTACAGGATCCATATTCCTCAAAGGGTGCCTTGGTAAGTACAAGACTTTTGTTTCTCAACTTGGCAGATCCAGTTATGTCCTTCCTATGACAGGCCCTTCTCGGCAGTTCTATCCTTCCCATGACAGACCCGTCACGCGAGTTCATATAATATACATACTAATAAAATAGACTGCTTCGTCCAATTACGAGAGAGAGAGAGAGATGAGGTTTAACGTCCACTCGACACAAACTAGGTCATTTCGGGCCTATTTCAATAATTTGCTTGTGCGCAGGGGTCTTTGGCAGTGGGGAGGAAACCAGAGGACCCGGAGAAAATCCACGAGTTTGGACGGCGATCCTACTTTTTGTCACGTACAACCGGGGAATCGAAACCATGCCACTTGACTCAGTGACAGACCTTACAATAACCATTCGGCCACCCAACCCCTCTCTTCGAAAGAAAATGGTAGGCTTTGCCAATTCATATACGATCGCCATGGCACTGGGGATGCTTGTTCCTTTGACAATTGCGGCATAGATTTTTGATATGACGTCACAATCGAGTCTATTTCATCAAGGCTTTTTGGAAAAATTCACTACAAATTTCAGTGATTAACCCTCTGTAGCTACAGCATATATATATATATATATTATTAACCCCTTGTACTTACAAGATATACCTATTAGTATTATTGAGTATCAATACATTATGTACTCTCTCTCTCTCTTTCTCTCTCTCTCTCTCTCTCTCTCTCGCTCTCTCTCCTTAGCAAAGGGTTTATTGACTAATTAATTCATGTTTTATTTATTTGTAGACGTATGCTGTATTATCGCTGTGTGTGGTTACCTGTTCGATCACGGTGTTTATTCTGGAGACATTACCTTACTTCGGTTCACTCACCATCCACGCCAAACGTAAAAACATTACCTTAACGTCAAGCGACCTGCGGAAAGACTTGGATATATTTCACGACATCAGTCCAAATGACGTATTAATCATCATCGACAACACGTGTAACTTTTTCTTTTTTCTGGAATTCCTGGTGAAGTTTGCCACGACTCCCGATAAACTTCGGTTCCTAGGACAACCGTTGTCCGTGATAGAATTGCTATGTCTTATTCCCTACTATATCGCCATTACAGTGGTATTCGTACATAGCGATCCCATCACCGTGTTCGAAATAATCAGAATCCTATTAGCATCCAGGGTTCTGCGAATTTTCAGGATTTTTGTATTGATGAAACATTTCTTGGCGCTGAAGATACTTGTATACACGATGCGCGCGAGTGCCAAAGAGTTACTTCTGCTTGTATTTATCGTTCTTATTGGGATAATAATATTCGCCTGTTTGGAATATTACATGGAAATATTTACTGATATAGACAGTGACTTCGAACACATTCCTCTGGCTTTCTGGTGGGCCTTGATCACCATGACAACAGTCGGATACGGTGATTTACATCCCAAATCTGGATTAGGATATGTGGTTGGAGGTTTGTGTGCCATCAGTGGGGTTCTGGTTATCGCTTTGTCCGTTCCCGTAATCGTCAATAACTTTACCGTGTACTACACGCATGCCCAATCACGCGCCAAATTGAAAGAAAGGCGCCGACGACAAGAAGTAGCCAACCATTGGAGGAAAGGGATGTCCATGATCAGACGTAACACAATCCAAAGAGTAATAGCCAATGGGAGAGGAGCGAAAGTTGGTGTAATTACAGACGAGGGGGAAACCTCAAACGGTCACATTACCAAAGACGACAACTCGGTGGTCTCAGGCAGTATTACACCCGGGGGGAGTGACGCAACGGGTCAAACTTCCACACGGACTATCAGTAAAATTAACCCTTCGGTGATCCCTGAGGTCACGGGAAGTGACGTCACGGGTCGAATACCCACTCGGACTATGAGTAACATTAACGTGCCGCTTTTAGACAATCTAGAAGTCAACAATCAACCTGATGAACTCACGTTGCCGGGAACTCCTGTTTCTAATGGCTCGCCTATAGTAAAACACTCCCTTACCCCACCTTCGGCAAAAAACGGCGACGTTAAGTCTTCGGTGTCGTTCATACAGACATAACTGGCGGGTGTTGTATATAAATTATGGAGCGTTGACTGAATAGAATTTTAATTAATGTATATATATTTATTGACTTCCGCTAGGAGCTTAGCTAAGGGCGTTCCTGTTATTCATTTTATTATTGACAAGCAATGTTTTACCTGGGCTTTGTATTGTTGACATTTCCTTTGAATATATTCCACCGTGGCAAAAACATTGAATTTTTATTTTTAAAAAATGAAGATTATACAGATATTGATATGGATCTTTCGTTACTGAATTCTTTGTATATCTGATTGTATATAATGTATTGATACTGAATAATAGATATATTATCCTGTAAGTCCAAGGGGTTAATAATATATATATCCTGTAGGTACAGAGGATTAATCACTGAAATGTGTAGTGAATTTCTTCAAAAACCATTAATGAAATAGTCTCGATTGTTTGAACAGCACTAACGTAGCGTTTGTGTCGCCAGCACCCGGAGCAAGTCGAGTATTGTCGTATGGAAAAAGGTTAAATAGAAACGTTGCCCAGGCATGTTTAACAGCATTGGGGGGTTCTAGTTGTAGGCCGTTTGGGGAGGGGGGTCCCCGGAGTGCACAAAGAAGAGGGAGAGGGAGAGAGAGATGGGGTTTAACGCCCAATCGACACAAACTAGGTCATTTCGGGACTAACACATGGTTCAATTTTATTTCAACAATTCCCCTGCGCTTAGGTGTCTTTAGCAGTGGGAGGAAACCGGAGGACCCGGAGAAAATCCACGAGGTTGGACAGGCGACCCCACTCCTTGTCACGGATAGCCGAGGAATCGAAACCACGTCAGTGGACTCAATGACAGACCGTATGATACAGCGCGCACGTGCCATGCCAACCATTCGCCCCCCCCCCCACCCTCGGAATCCACAATGACCACTTTATATAAATGAGTATTTTGGGGAACCCTAACCCTAACCGTTTTAAGGGGCATAAAAGGTAAATTGGAACCAAGTTCGGTCTTTTAAAAAGGTTTAGGGTTAGAGGGGATCAGAATTGGAATCACTGAACGAGATTGAAAGCTTTTATTTTAATTTCGTTACAGTACATCAAACGCAGATTTCTGATTTTTAACAAAGCCTTCAATGTCGATAAGAAAGACATTTTTAGGCATTGTGATATTTTTAATATCCAATATATTTAACATGTTACCCAGGACAGGATCTATAATTAATAGTTTTTATATATATATATCGAGGTGTGAATCCACGGTAAACGAAATCAAACAATCAAGATATTTAATTCTCTTTTTTTAAAAACAAAGAATTGACGGTCAATTTTGATTATTTCACTATTTGCAGCACAATACGGTACATCAATTAATCACCGCCTTATTATCGGCAATTAGCACGGTACGATTAGCAGTGCCTAATTTAGACGAACAAACTGATCAACAGTTAAAAAGATACATTATGTTAGATTATATAAAACACAAATTTATATGGAAAACAATCACTGAGTTGAAATAAACCCAGTGATTGTTTTCCATATAAATTTGTGTTTTATATCATATGTTCAGTTACTAAATGCCGTATAAGGATTTTATGTTAGATTAGCTAAAGAGCTGTCAGTTCTCACTTTAATAGTTAAAATCTAGATAATGTAAAGGGAATATGCTGAAAATTTCAGTCAAATTAATCCACTCTGAACCGAGAATTTAGCGATTGAATTTTGGGCCTACTAAAAGTCGGTACGATAAAATACATAGTCTCGATTATCCATTTCTTGATTTAATCATGCATGAACGTAGAGCAGCAAATCGGACCTTAATCCAGTAAATATCACAGGCTAGCGATGACCACGAGAGTTGATTATGGTCTGGATAAGTTAATTAATGTCTAATTAATAATTTAGATAACATTTCGGGCCTAAAGAAAGACCTGGAATAGGCAGATTTAGCTCTTGCGTAATGTATGTTTAATGTTCGCTATGTACAAGCACTGTCTAATGGATATTCTCTACGAAATTGTTATATATTTTACACGTTTTTTAAAGTGTTTTTATAGGTTCTATTTGATACGATCGATTCGTCCCATGTTCATCGTTATCAGCATTGGGTTGGGGTTTTTTTTCTAATTAGTGCAGTAGGTTAACGACAAACGTTTTTTTTTATCTTGATTTGGGAGGAATATAACAACCTGTTTGATATTTAGAAAGATGTCGCTAGGGACGGGGGGGGGGGGAATGAAATGGAGTTTAACGTGCTACTGTTCTGCTCCATCTAGGCTAATGAAGACGGGCATACGCCATACAGTGTGATGTAGGGGAAATTGTGGCCGGACAGCAGCGCCGGACTAACTGCTAAGGGATCTTTTACGTACTGGACCTAAGTTTTCTGTCCCTTGCCAGACCCCCCCTACTGCACTACGGGGGGGGGGGGCATCGGACCCAATACATCAGAATAGGGGCCAGATGTAATTTAATTTTGCGTCAATGGCGACACGGTGGCCCAGTAATTAAAACGGCGCTTGTTCATTCACCAAGGAATTTGGTCATGAATTTTATCATTGTTTGATAATGAGTAATAATGATTAGAGAAGCCTAGTCTAAACTGTGTAGTATTATCACGTTCTATATTGAAATTCATTAGTTTTAATTACCCAACTAATTAGCACCTATATATATACAATAATATATAAAGTGATAATATGACCACCCGCCATTTCCTCATCTCAACCAATGAACTGTTGTTGCCATCGTATTACAGCATGTACATGTATCTGAAATACCTACAGCTTTAGCCTACACACTCACGTTATAAATAGTGTTGAAAGATTTCAACATTCTGCTATTTTTCTGCTAATAACGTGGTCGGTGCTAATAAGGCCAGTGTCCATATGCTCACCTGAATGGCTGAACCGTCTCTCCTCTCAACATGTCCAATCAATTAGGCCCGAGAAAGCTCATCGGGATTTTCCGGCGTGGTTTCCCCTTTGTCAGTGGTGCAGGACGGAGGGCCTGACAAGCACAGCTGTCTAGTCGTTCGGATGAAACGAAAAACCGAGGTCCCGTGTACACATAAGCGTACACGTAAAAGATTCCTTGGCAGTTGGAATTCGATATAATTATAAGAGTAGCCCATAGTGCCGCTGTCCGGGCAAAATTTCCCTCATAGCACACTGTATGGCGTGCGCCCGTCTTCATTAGCGGCACTATCGCCTACTCTTATATCGAATTCCAACTGCCAAGGGATCTTTTACGTGCATTCCAATGTATACACGGGACCTCGGTTTTTTGTTTCATCCGAAGGACTAGACAGCTGTCCTTGTCAGGCCCTCCGTCCTGCAGCCCACGACCGAGGGATCTGGGTGGGCTATAGAAATGGTTCCACTACTGATGTCTTCCGTCTTGCAGCTAGGTGGGCTAGATCTGAAGGCTACCTCGAGATTTCGTCAAGGTCGCTGAAATTTAAATAAGGTTAGGGCCCGTAACTGTTGACGAGACTGGGGGTTAGGGTTTCGGTTAAGGGCAAGGTCCAGGATTGGAGTGGCCTTAAGAAATATATCTAACCGTGTGGGTGACCTCCCGTAGAAAATATGATGCTGATAGACATTGAAATAAACAGAAACTACGACAAAGATATTGTTTTACCGCACGATACTGGATCGTCCCGATCTGAAGCACAATACCTTGTGGGACACACTCATAACGTCAACCCATAACAACTTTCTCAAGGGACACCATCCATACACATAGGCCTTTGTCGCATCAACTTTCAACTTTTTTATTTGCATATTACGTCCATTAAGAACATTATACAAAACATACGCATACATCAATATACATGTACATGTATACAAAAATATATTTGACATGGAATAATATATTGGAATAACATGATATAATGAAATGAAAATATAATGAGATATATACATGTACCATTGGGATGATACAATGAAAATATAGCAATGAAAGTATAACAATGAAATGAAAATATGAAGGTGCCCCCCCCCCCCCCTTTTCCTTAAAAGCATGATATGTATACATTGCTACTGCTTTAGCAAGAACATCTGGCGGATTAAAAAGAAGCTCAAAAGTTAATTGACAAGATTGTATTAAAGTAATGTAGATATATTTTAAGCGCAAGTTTTCGTATCTGGGACACTGGAACAGAAAATGGAATTCATCTTTTACGGTAGAAAGAGAACATTGGGTGCATAACCTTTGGTCAGGTGGAATATTCTTGCATTGCCCTCTCTCTATTTCGAGTTTGTGTGAGCGGAGTCGAAGCGATGAAAAGGCGGATTTAAAGTTTTTATTTTTAACCTGCAGAGACCACTGCACTGATCAGCAGTGAATATTCCCTAGGCCTCGACAATCACTGATAAGGATGACATCGATGCGACTTAATGAGCCACAAATATTAACTTATTTCCTCCGACAAATTAAATTCTAAAACATTTTTTTTGATGTATTAGAAAAATAAATAAAGACGTTTGAAGTATTTGTAAGTCAAAATTATTTCCTATTTAGTGCAAATGGGTATTAAAATGAGTAAAAAGTCTCCATTCTGCCCGAACTAGAACGTCTTATGTAAACAATGCACGCGCCATTGAGCCAATGATTGACGCCGCGTGATGGGACGTCACGTGTTAAAGGTAGTCATCTTTTACAGAGATATTAGAAGACTTTCGTAATCCTCTGTGAAACAGATTGGCATCAGACCAATAGGTCTAATAGGTCCGTGTTTCCAGTCTTAAAGAGCGACACTACAAATGTGTATAAATCGATCCATGTAGATGCCATTTCCGACCATTTAGGACCCCAGACCCGCCAGATCGAGTCTGCCCATGGCTCGCCTATAGTAAAACACTCCCTTACCCCACCTTCGGCAAAAAACGGCGACGTTAAGTCTTCGGTGTCGTTCATACAGACATAACTGGCGGGAGTTGTATATAAATTATGGAGCGTTGACTGAATAGCATTTTAATTAATGTATATATATTTATTGACTTCCGCTAGGAGCTTAGCTAAGGGCGTTCCTGTTATTCATTTTACTATTGACAAGCAATGTTTTACCTGGGCTTTGTATTGTTGACATTTCCTTTGAATATATTCCACCGTGGCAAAAACATTGAATTTTTATTTTTAGAAAATGAAGATTATACAGATATTGATATGGATCTTTCGTTACTGAATTCTTTGTATATCTGATTGTATATAATGTATTGATACTGAATAATAGATATATTATCCTGTAAGTAC